TTCGGCGCTCGCTCAAAGGAACTCTTGAGGTCTCGATTTGGGCCGCTCTATGCCTAAATGCTACTTCCTCTTGGCTTTGCCCATGCTATCATGCCTGCATACTTTATCTGCGTTGTGGTCGGAATTGGTTCTCCCTTCGAAAAACAAACCTTGCTGTATGGGTGTCGGGGATCTATAAGCAATTCTGTCGTTTCCAGGTTAAGGCGCATCCCGTGTAGCAGCGCGTCGCATGCAACAGATTGGTTAGCTGCGTTGTGGTCCTGGCCATCAATAGTGTATCGTCCGCGTATTCTATGTCCGAGGTCGGGTGCACGATTGACCAAGTGTTACGTGCTACCGTCTGTGCTGCTAAGTCCCAATCGACGTCTTCCATAATTACTGTTAGGACCATGATGAAGCTCAACGGACATCTCTGTCTGATGCCTGTTTCTACCCTACCCGTGACGGTTCGGGGCCTTTAGTGAAGAATGCGGGGTCTGTGTATCTGGACCGGATTACCTCTAAGGATTTCCTCGATAGGTCAAATCTCTGTAAGGCTATGCTCATGGCGATTGTAGTCTCAGGAGCCAAAGGCTAAAGGCCTGTTTCCAAAAAGAGATAACAAAGCGACCTATTAGTCATCTCGGTCCATTCCACAGTTCTTCTCAAAATAAACGAAGGCTGGGTCGAACCGCGGTGTGGTCTCAGGACTTGGCCAGCAGCTGCACTGTAGGGTTGGTGTTAGGGTTCACTGAACTGGCCTTGAACTTTAGCCTACTATACTAAACCCCTAAACCCTAAACCCTAATATGTATATATATATATATATATATATGTATTGGTTTGTATGTAGAAAAGGCCACAACAAGTGAACGACCCTAAGAACTCTTTCGTCAGGCCGCCATTGCCGAAGCCGGGGCACTGCCCAGACTTGGAGCTTTGCTCCAGGACAAGGCAAAAAAAACGAAGGTGTTTAGGGTTTAGGGTTTAGGGTGTTGGTGTTTTGGGGCTGTTGGTATGTTTTTTGGCGGGCGCTTTGGCACTCATGTAGGTGTGTGGTGCCTCGAGGGTGTGGTTCAAACAGGTGGTCTCAATAATCAGTAATATCGTTGCCGCTATCTGGTCCCTCTAAACTCAATTAAAAGTATCAAGGCCTCCTATACGATGCGCTCCGGAGATCACTTAGCGCTCAACCCCATTTGATCAAAAATCTGAAACCTTCTGTGAACACTCGAAGCCCTGAAAAACTGCAAAACAGGTGGCAGGCTTGAGCCCAGCAAAACCTTGGAAATTCCGCGGGAGGCCGCGGCCGTTGCCGAGACTGCTGCTGGGGCTCTGAGGAATTTGGCGGCACAGAACTCGGCCAACCAGGCAAAGGGCTTTGGGCTTGCTGGAGTCGACGGGTCAGGCAAGGCTGTCTCGTGAAAAGACTTAGAAGCCTGGAATAGTTACGCAGTCATTCAGTTCAACCCGTTGAAGTCTCAGAAACAGTTCTTGAATTCTCAACTACTTTATCATTCATTGTTTTCTAAAAGGTGGAGCCGCGCTTGTAGCCAACATCATCAGTTGCGTGATGTGTCTGAGTAGTACTTCGTCCTGAACCAGAAGACATTTCGGCTGTTCGACACTCGCAGACGGAGCTGCCTCACCTTTGCAAGCTTTGCCTCCTCTGACCTCCTTGACTCTAAACCCTCTCAGCGCATCCCCGAAGAAAGACACCCCAAAGCAGCTACAACAGGATTCCGTCTGCCAAAGCGACGCCCTTCGGAGCCTGGTGGGGCTGCTGAAGGAGTCGCGAGAGCCCAAGGCGCAGGCGAGCTTTGGGATTGCAGCACGGTTTTGGGACTTGATGCCGATTTGGGGGTTGTGCGGTAGTTTTATGAGAATCTTCTTGCAACAGACTGGGGCTACGAAGAATAATTATTTGGTCATTTAGTCATCATTTTTTCATCATCTCCTTGATTTCCTCCATCATCATTTCTTTGCATATGGGGAATGCATTCGTTTTTAATCATGATTTGTTGGAGGTTCCTGAATTCCGATGATGCTTTCTTTATTTATCGAACTATTGCGTATTCAGGGTGCGCAGTGTAGACCACCGATTTTGTTCTTGCTTGTGACTGGGTCACATGACCCAGGGAGCCAAACATGTTTTGTTTTGGAACGTATCCTTCTTCCTACTGGGGCTATTCCCAGCCCTATACAACACATCTGCATCATAAGTTCGCTAGGGAGGCATCGTCCCAGATAAAGAGATGAACACACTGCGATCGGCGAATGCAAGAGCACATGATTTTGTTCTAGGACTCCAGGCTAGGCAGATTCCGAGCACAGAAAGGGAGTTCTGCACCATCATCGGGCCCCGCAGCGGCATAGGGCTAGGATTAGAGCCTCGGCCACAGGGTCTAGGGCCTAGAGATACTACTCCAACAAGAGAGTCCAATAGACATCCAATGCATACCCGGCCGCGAGGACGCTGGAACCGCCAAGCCCGGAAACGATGATAGAATGATGTTTTTTTCTAGAGGCCGGGCGGCCCCCCGGAAACAATGAAGAAAAAATGAAGCTGGGAATGATGAAAAAATGACGCCTCTCGGAGTGCATTTTGGGGGAGTTCTGGGGACAAGGTTTTTTGGGGGGTTTGGGGCCGGTTCCGGAATTTTGGAAAAATGACGGTTTCCTAGGACTGTCGTCATTTTTCTTCATTTGTCCATCATCTTCTTCATTTGTTCATCATTTTTCTTCATTGTTCCTTCGTTTTTTCTTCATTTGTTCCTTCGTTTTTTCTTCATTTTCCTTTCTTCCCCTCCAGGCAAAATGAAGAAACATGAAGAAAAAACGACGGCCTAGATCCAGGACACGTCCCCAGCTCCCTTCCCCACACCCTGGCCAGATCTCGGCAAAGGCACCCCGAAGCCCTAGATCCTTGGCAGCTTCGTTTCCTAAGTTTCCTGGCTTGGTCTGACAGAGAAACCACGCCGTAAGATGCTCAAGATGGGATTCCGGCTGGTTTCGTAGACATCCTTGGGCAGGAGAGGTGTGGGCGGGGGAAAAAAACTTTATTACAAAAAAGGGAAATACAGCGGGGCAGGCCAGCGCACCAATTTTTGAAGTTGCCTCGGTTTCCCACAAACACGTGGTGGGCAGTCTTGCGTGTAAGGTCTGCAGTTTAGAGTCTACGCTTGCAGACTCCAGAGTTGCGATGACATTCCAATGTGCCAGCCTTCGGGCAGCCATGCTCGGATGTCGTACGTTGTTCCTACTAAACGTTTCTGTGAGTGTGTAGGGATAGGGTTCAGTCTTTATGGGGCACTGGCAGATGACACAGTAGCCGCGCAGACATGTTTGGCAAGCCCTGAAGAAATGATGATGCATTCAGGACGTTTGCAGAACATGCTAAACAGATGATGATTTAATGATGCCAGGAATGTACCCAAAAATGAAGATTAAATGATAAAAAAAATATTTCCTGGTTTTCCAGTGTGTTGCTCCCGAAGAATCTCTAAACGGTAGTTTAAGTTGGAGGTGTTTTTTTTGGGGGGGGGGGGGCTGTCGGGGTTCTGGTTTCGTGTTTGATGGCTGCCACGAGCGCTGAGGCTTCCTGGGCAGACACTGAGTTGAGAGACACGCTGGAATAGCAGGAGTGCTAACAAAGAGCCCCGACCTTCAAGAGTCTGCACTTGTTAACCGTTGTTGCTGAGCGGGATCCATCCATACGAAGGAGCACGTGATGCAACAAAATCCCAAGAAGAGTTTGCTGTTGTGCGCCGGAGCCTCCAAATTCGAGAGGCCAGAAGGACCAAGAACTAACGAATGCAGGTCGAAGCCGCGGGAGCCATCCACAACTTGGCAGGGGCCCTTCTCGGTTTGGGAACTTCGCGGCTTTCAAAGTTTGGGACTGTGCCGAAAGCTTCCGGATTCCTAAGCCCTGAACTTTATGAAGATTCCAAACCGAACCCTGAGCTTGTAGGAAGTTGGTGTAACAGGCAGTCATGCAGGGCGAAGACATTCTTGGTTCGCTCCAGCTAGGTTTTCGGCCTGTTCCGAGTTGTGACAGGCCCCCATGGCGGAGTGTTGAAATGCCAGACTGCATGGCCTATGAAGGCGTAGAGTCATGATTTGAACTCTCGTTGATACCCTAAAAGCGGCATGCCAACTCCTGTGTTTGATCGAGGCCCCCATCTCTGAAGCAAGCATCAAAGCAGCTCTACTGAGGCGGCTGGAAACACCAGATGCCAAGGAAAGATCGTGGAGGTCCCATGCACAGATCGTCCTGCGTTGGTGTCAGCGATTGAACCACATGTTCTACGGTGTCAGACGAAGCACAGCAGAAGATGCGGCGACTGAGCCGGAAAAGCTTATGCAAGCAAAAAGATTATTGCAAATGTCATGATCATATTCGTCTTCATCATCACCATGGCCATGAGCAGCAACATTGTTACAGTCGAAAGCTGCGGGATCTCGTCGGGATGCAGCCCACGCAGAGGCTGGCGGACTGCAGCCGCTCGTCTCGCTGCTGAAGGAGGAGGAACTGCGGGTCAGGGCTTGCAAGTCGCTGAAACCCAAAGTCTCCGGCTTGGCTTTCGGTTGCGGGCTGCGGGTTCAGTCAGGGTTTTTTTGTAGGCAATCTTGCTTTCAAGCATGTGGATTTCGGCATGCTGCTGAGAAGATTGGCGGTCCAGAAATTATCCTTAAAACCGAAATAAACTTCGAAAGTCTGCACAGTTCGAAAGTTTAGAAACCCTAAACCCTAAACCATTAGAAGGCTCCACGAATGCGCGAAGTTGCGGCGGGAGCTTTGTGGGCCTTGGCGAGGCTCGCCCCTTTTCTGGGCGTTTTGGGGTTTCCTTTCTTGTATGGCTTTTGGGATTTGTGGGTTTTTTGGCTTGGATTCTTCTCGGGGCTTGGTGCTTTTTCTTGTTCCCATGGCTCACCTTTCTCCAGGATTAGCTTACAAGAAAATAATGCCTGCCTTAAGTCAAGAAGCGTCAGCATTGCTTGAATTGTTAGGTTCAACTAGAATACTGAACCCAAGAAACTTTCCACCAGGGACAATCCGGAGCTGCAGAAGGCCATCGATCGATCGGGCAACATCTATGCCGAGCATTTGCCCCAAGGACATCCAAAAAACTGAATGGTTCTCACAGTGCTCGGCTTTAGGACGACCGAAATTTGTTGCGGTTTGACTAAATTTATTCGAAATTCTAAAGATTAATATTTTCGTTTTCTAGAAAATTCAAAAAGTGAGATGAATAAAATCTTAGTTCTTGAGAAAATTACTTTTATTCTATAATCTGGTGCTGAAAAATTAAAAATTAATACTAAAGAAGAAGGGATGACTTCTATAAGATATAATATTTATAAATCTTGATATTTTCATATTTTGATTTTTGAACTTTCTCATATAATTATAAAGAAATGGGATCATATGATTTCTATTCTTGCACAAAAACGAATATTTCTATTTTTAAAAAGATCTCGAAAATATTATATATATATATATAAACCAAGAGAATAATAATATTAATTGAGGGACTATACTTATTCTTTTGAAATATCTTGAAATTTTTGTTCTGATAATGAAAATAAAAAGAACTAATATTTTTTCGAAATATTTGATTTATAAATATAAGAAAAATTATTATTATACTACGATAATGTTCATTAAATATTCGTCTGATTCTATAAGATTGT